TAAGAATGGCTCTTCCAGAGCAAGGTAATAGATCATTAACTATAAAGCAGGGGAAAATGACCCTCAGGCCATGACCGGAAGGAAACAGACTATACTTGCAATAATTCAGCATCTGATATTTTGTTTATTTCTTTAGTTAGTGTAAGTTCTCAATCAAGCTCCCAGACACCCAGAGCAAAGAAGCTGAACTTTGCCAGCCTTGCAAGATGGTTTTCTGCAGCCCTTCAAAACTGCATGGGCCTCATTTGCTGGAAGGCTTTAAAATTGCTGTCCTGAAACAGCACTGAGGGCAGAGAGCAACTCAGTAACCATGTACTGCCTGGGCCACCTCAGTTTTCAGGGGATGTGGCCCAGCTTCTTTCCTATCAAAGCCTAAAACCATAACACATCTATTGGAGTTCCCATGTCAGAGCTACAAATTACACCCAGAACCAGGGTACCAGTTCATGTGACACTGCTCAATTGCCATGAGCCCAACCAGGACACCAAATCTAACCCCATCCTCAGAAAACAACACAATCCACAGTTGGGGCTCCAAGAGGCTCCAGATTAATCACAGCTCAGGTTTTCCTATGAGAACAGTGCCATAGATCAGCCAGCTCAGTTTTTCACCAGGCAAAGCTGGTCCCTACACATTCCTGCCAGCACCTTCCAGATCTTCCCTAATCCCCATTTTTGGAAGGCTGGTAGGATCACATAGAAAAATGCCTGTGCAACAGAAGGTTGATCTGACCATACCATACTCAAAAAACCAGTTACACTCAGCATAAAGCTCCCCAGAGTCTCCATCTCTAAGACCCTTCAGTGAACACTAGAAGAGAAAGCTTCATCCTCAACCCCATCCTTACTCTGGCAGACAGCAGAGTCTTTGACAGGAGCTGTATCTTGGCCAGCCCACAAACCAATTTAGAGCACGTATAAACCTTCAGAACACAGTTTAGGAAGAGCCTCTGAATGCAGACAGAAATTGCAATTATTAATTTGCTAAATAGAAATCTGACTACTTAAACCTTATTTAAAAGTGTGCCTGTCTCAATAATTACACAGCCTTAATTTGTTTTCTTTACTACACAATAAATAAGGTGTGCACAATTGCCTTCTGTAAACACAAGGCAATGTCTCCTGACTGGTTGAGCACACAGCTGCCCAGGAAAGCATTTAGAGGGAATCACAGTCTCTTAAGTACCTGTTTCTCTGTAAAGGGGATGTGGGCACTGCAAATAGACTTGTCTAGCTCTAGGTGATATGCTGGGAGCCCACCCTCCTACATGTACAGCTTTACTGTCCCACAGTCAGTGAAGGCTGGATGCTTTGATCAGCAGCAAACAGGTCCTGTCCTCTCCTGTACACTGAATCCTGGTGCACCATGAAACTGGGCTCTCCTATAGACTTCCTAGTGCCTAATGAGGAATATGATAATGTTGTTTTCTTCCAACACGCTGCACTTCAACAACCTCTCTTTACTATTCTTCCTATTTCCAGGGTACACATAGAAAATATATATCCTCATGGCTTGTAATCAGGTTCAAATAAAATTGGCCAAAGCATTCCAGTGTTATTAGAAGGGCAGAGGGAGTGAGATCATGCAAGTCTTTCTCCAATAAGCTGTGCTGAACACAGTGACATAGTGAATATGTATTCTGATGGCTTGTGTGTCTTGAATTTTGGAACCGTATTATCCTAAAGTTTTCTCATAAGTCTCAAGCCAAAGACTGAGTTTTTCTGTCAACACCAAACCTTGCCTACATCCACCTGTACCACCTGCTAGCACTAATTCCCACCAATCTTGGCTACAAGGACTCAGTTTTCCACAGCCTAGATCTGCTGATCCTCAAATCCAGTGCACAGTGTTCTCCAGGACCATGCCCATATTAGCCAAAGGGCTGCCCAAAGCTGCACAGAAATGGGACCAGAAACACACCAGTGCAACTTTGCCCAGTGAGATGATGTCCAGTGAGAGCACAAAATGACACTGGATGATATCCAGTTTAGATCAGAGCCATAATTCTACTCCAAGAGGAGAAGAGGGACACAAAACTATTTCTAGATCCACATCTCTGGCTCCCAGTTACCCACTGCTCCTCCACAAACTAGGTTGGCCTCAAGCCCTTTACATTTATACAGCTAATTTAAAACCCTAAAGGACAGGCATGATCCTGGTAGGTTGTGCTTTGGAGCATTTTGTAGTATACCATTTTGCAGTTGAGTGCTGAAAATCCCCTTCTTGGATTGCTCACCTTTCCTCCCTGACTCTGGGATGGGGAGGGGAGTAAAGAAAACAAGCCTAACATCCAGAACCATTATCCTAAACAAACCCCCACACAACTCTGAGCTCCTGCAATTAGAGCTGGGATAAGTGATCTGCTTGTGATTGCACAGCTGGAGGCTGAAGACAAGTGTGTGTGCAGAGGAAGGGCCAGAAATAGAATTTGCCAAGAGAAGGCAGAGCTATCTGGTCCATCTGAGAGGAGGAAACCTTGATGAAAGGCACTGGGGATAAAACTCACTTCCCAGGATGGGAAGGAGTAGAAAACAGCTTTTTTAGCACTCACAACATGAGCTTCATGTGGAAAAATGCCTGGTGTTGCTTGAACCACCCTGCAAAGGTCCAGCCCCAGTTCCACCACCCTGTGCCAGCCCATCCCTGAAAATGACACTTCAGTCATGTCTTAAACATTTGCCATCTTATTAACTCAACTCCACCTGAAACCATCCAAATAGCCAGCAAAGGAGAAGGAAAACCAGGGCAGCAGTGATAACACGTAGCAGAAACTCAACAAGCCTTAAGCAAAACAACCCGTGGTCTCCAGCCCCACAGCCATCCAGCTGCAACCAGCTGGGGGATTGGCACAGCATCCCTTGCTCCTGTCAGCTACTGTACCTGGTTACAGTAGCTCAAGACTTACAGCAGAGTGACATTTCCATTAATCCCTTTATCCCTGGCTCCTACGTGCAGTGGCTGCAGAAAACATCAGGCTTTCAGCAACCCAAGCTCCCCAGGAGGCAATGGCTGCAGAGCAGCCAAGGAGGCACCTTGATGCACTTGGTTGGTGCTGTGACCATGGAGAGGACCCGAAGTGACACCGTGTGTCTTCCCCAGGCTGCACCAAGCCTGTGAAGCCACATCAAGGTGAGAGAACCCTGCAAAAGCAGCTTGGCTGCAAGGGAGCAGCAGCACTATGGCCTGAGAGCCTCTGGGGAGCAGGAGGGAGCCAGCATCCCTGCAGGCATCAGGTCTCCATTCCCAGGTGCCCAACATCCACCATGGGAGACATCCACCGTGCAAACATCCATGCTGCCAGGTCCCAGCAACAGCATCAAAACCCACTGGCAAACACTAACCAAATAACAAACTCACTTGCCTCGAGCTTCAAAAGGCAAGGAAAGAAAGATGTTAAGAAGGTAATCAATCTTACAGGGCCCAAGCAGTAAACAAACACATATTTCATCACCATGTACCAACCTTAACTCTTGACACAAGATGGATGTGGGATTTTTTTTTTCCCCTACAATCTCAAATGTAATCTCAGAAGACAAAAACAAGCACTTTTGGAAAAAGCAGTAACACTTGCATATGTACATATTAACAACACATCCAGCCTCAAAGCAAGCATCCATGGCCTTCTGAACTCCTACAATATCCAGTTAATTTCATCAGGAAACAAATGCTATTTATTTTATCTGCTAGATACATAAACAGCAACTGCACAATTGACAAACACTCCCCTCCCCACCAGAAAAAAAATAATCAGGTGGGACAAGTATTCAGAGAGAAGGCTTCCCAAAAAACTAAACAAAAAAAGAAACATTACAAATCAAAATAACAGAGTCAGAAACTGGAAGAATCCCAGTGGTCAGCATTAAGGAGGGTTTATGACAAAATTGCACTTCTTCAAACTCCAAAAGGCTCCACAGTCCTTAAACTACTCCTGCCCTTTGCTACTGCAGATCTCCTATTAGCAAGTACTTTACTGTCACTTAGCAACTGTGACTGGTTTTCCAAAAAGGAAGCTTTTGGGGTTTTCAGTTCAGATAATCTCTGAGCAGACAACCAAAGACAAAGCTATCCTGCTCTGCAAGTCACATCTGTCTCCCTCTGCCAGGAATATGCCCCTACTGATGGCCTCGTGCACCCAGACTCCGACAGATGTGTGCTCTGACAGTTTTTCATGGAAGAAGACACTAGGCATTGGTTTCTAAAGAAGGGTACATATCTCTCCATCCAGCCTATCACCTTGTGCCCAAGGCTGAGGCCTCTCAACTCTTTTTTAAATCTTTTATACCTATACCAGGAATGAAAGGCATTTGATCTCAGTTTCTTTGATGTGGCATTTGAAGCCCATGCAGCATCTTGCACATTTTCCTGAAATTCAGGCTTTTCTTGGGGAAAAGTAAATACATATCCAGAAAAGCAATCAGTGCTCTTGGCCATAAGGATGTGGGAGTCTCCTGGAAGACTTTACCTGGTGGTTAACAGTGCCCCAGCAGCCGGACACTTATGGAATGTCCTATGATCACAGGCCTCCAGCCTTTCTGACACAAATGTCTCTACCCCAGGCCCACAGCAGAAGCCAGTTTATGAAGTCAATAGTTACAGAGCAGAGCTGGCAGCCCCACATCCCAGGATTTGTGCTGGAAAAGCACCTTTTGGTTAAAATCACACCGCCACCCCCCCAAAACTCTGCAGAAAGGAAAATGCGCACCAGCCACCTCCCGGCTACTAATGAAGCAAGCACTTGTTAGAACAGCAACCAAAGCCAGGCCAGTTAACAGGCACCAAAACCCACCAGCTGCCCAGCAGGAGCTCACCCCACCCTGCACCAGGGCCTATTCCATTTCCCTGTGCCATCACTTTTCTTTCTCCCCCACGTCTATCACCTCTCTCCCTTCTCACATCAGCATCCCCCTGCTCTCCTGTTGCTCTCCCCAGCAGGCACTTTAGGGGGTCTCCTTTCCACCAGGAGCAGAGGGAAGAGGTGGCAGGAGCAGAAGGCACTCACATGTAGCGCAGGTGGGGGTTCTTGGCGAAGGCACGGGGCTGGATGTTCCGCAGTCCTGAGTTCCTGATTGTCCTGCAAAGAGATGCAGAAGAGCACCAATGGAGTCAAGGTGGACAACTGCTCTAAAACCCCACACTTGGCACCTGAGGTGTTCTGGGAGACCTTAATTTCCCCCTTGGCATCACATCGCTTCCTAGACAGCTTCTATGAGTTACCAGAAAAGAGGAAATTGGGCTTTTCAGCTTCATCTGATATGGTGACAATGGAGGCTCAGCACAGAGCAGCTGGTGGGCAAGACTCTCCCCCCATATCCACCAAGGCTTGCTGAGGTGTCCTGGATCATCTCCTGCTCCTCTACATCCATCTGCCTGCTCCCACAACAAACCTAACCCCCAGCACCACCACCTCCCATCCCTCAAACCCATAAGATAACTTCTCTGCTTGCAGCTCTGGTAAGGAGAGGTGAGTGTTTGAAGCAGGGAGTGTTGGACATTGAAGGGAGAATCCTCTTCCCACCCTATTTTGGAGAAGTGGTATCAGCACCAGTGTTTATTAATATCTGCTGAAGACAACAGTATTCTCAAGTCCATTGCTGCTTCCTTAGGTGAGATAAGAGCAGCCAGTCTGCTTACAAGGTGTGCATGTGTGTGTTAAAAGTACAGTTTGCTGGGGTTTGGTTCCTCAGTGCTCAGCAGTGTAGACATCTCCTCCAGCCCACAGGCAAGCTCTACCTAATCTAAGGTTCCTAGCAGAGTTTCCAATTAGCCCTGAGCTACCCTCTGCATCTCATGGAGGCAGCACCCAGGGCACTCCCAGCTCCAGGAGGATGCAGGAGGGGGAATTAAGAGATTCTCAGATGCCTGGAAAGTCTTTCAGTCTCATGGGCCTCTGTCTTCCCTCGATGATGCATAAAATTGACCTCTCCCAGTGCTCAGAGGATTGTGCCAGGAGATGCAATTCCCTATGGTGCAGCACCACCATGATGGCAACTACAGCAAGTGAGGACCAACAGTCCAGCACTGAGGGATGAGTGGAGACAGCTGGAATTACACATTGTGGAGCTGAAATGAGTCAGAAAAACGCACAAGCTCAGAACCAGAACAGCGGGGGAGAAGAGAGGTCAGGGCTGATGTGTGTTGACAGAGCTGTCAGGAGCTAGCAATCTTCCTTCTCACAGACCCACCAAGGACCAAGAACCACTTTGTCTCCATTTTGCAGAGTCTTGTAGCAAAACACAGCAGAGCCAGTAGCTTAAACAGGCTCCAAACACCACAGTGTGGAGACTGCAGACAGAGGGAAACCAGAGCTCTTTGCTGGAAGGAAGGGGCTGCCCAACTCTGTTCTCCTCCCCAACAGACAGGACATACTCACAGCCTCTGCAGTCCCGTGTACAGCTCCATGTCGACAGCGTTCAGTGTCTGCAAGTTCTTCCAGTTCTCTATGTGTCTGTGGAGAAGAAGGAAAGGCTCAGCTGTGGCAGAACCAGATGGTTGCTCTGCCCAAGCAGGGGGCAACACACAGCAAGAGCTTGTCATGTCCTGCCACACAGACCCACCTTTTCCCACTTCCCTTCAACAAAAACCTTATTGCAACAGGTCTGGGATTGGACCTGCTCAGGCTTCAGCATCCACACCCTCAGACACAGATGGCACACATCACACTGCCAAAACAAGCAGTTTCTCATGCTTGTTTTTATTCAGTTTTCCCAATGTTTTAGGAAAGCCAGAAAATATGGGTTTACCCACAGTTTTGAACATGGAACATGCAACCAATCCATGGAACCACCTTTGCCAAATCATTGCTGCTCACCATGCACATCAGTGACACAACAACATGGTTGAGACAGTTCACACAAAGTGGGTGAAACAAATTTGGGCCTAAATAGAATAAATAAAGTCATATTTATCCAGTCTTTTACCAGGGTGGACAAATTGGGTACAAGCCTTTGCTGGTGGGAAGTGCTGCCAACGGAAGAGCACTGAACTTGGTTTGGAAACTCTGCCTTTATTATGAATTCCTCGGTCGCCCGGGGCGCTCTGGCAGGTGTGTTATAGAGAACAAAAACAGAAATAGATCTGTCACCCTGGAATCGTTACTCAGTAAATATTAGAGCCAGGGGAAGGTGACAGATCGACAGCCCCAGAGAACAGGGCTCCCTGTTATCAGCAGCACAGGAGCAGTGTTGGCAGCAGCATGGTCAGCTCCCTGTGGCCACAGGCCCTTGCTAACAAGCTGCAACACTGCATGGTGGGGAAGGAGCTCAGTCCTTATCCCCCAGGCAGTTCTTAGCCAGCTCAGGTTTTCTCCCAGGCTGAGCTCAGACACCCTCCCACCAGCAAGCACAAACATATCCCAAGGGTCTTTTCCAACCTGGATAGTTCTGTGATTTTCAAGACGGTCTTTGCTGGGGAGTGGAGATGGGTCCTTTTGCAAAGTGAACTGAGTGGGAGAAAGATCTGGCAGGTCCCTTTAGACCACATGTAAAAACCTGAAGTTTATGAATACAAGAAGAAACATTTCTAAGTCCTGCAGGGTTGGGGTGATAAACCAACACCGAGAAACATCCCTTCAGGGTGAGGAGGTTGCAGGACCCCACTTGGTGGTCTGGAGTGTAAGTGGGAGAGGGACCTTTGACCACTTCCAGAGCAGTCATGGGAGTCAATATGTTGTGCCTCCAGCACTTGCTATGCCTGTGCTTGCACAAGAACAGAAGGATGAGCATGACAACAGTATATGGACCTATTTGAGCCATATCCTAAATACCATCTGGCTCAAGAAAGAGAAATACAAAGCCTGGACTAAACCTAAACATATTTCTCAGTTCTCACTATGCAGATCCAAGGAAAAAAAAAAAAAAAGAGACCCACAAGAGTCACCTCTGCTTTCCACATGTTCCATAACTGCCTGCCTGCCCTGAGGGGTTAGCCTAAGGACACAGCACAAGCTCCCAACCCGCTGCTGAGTGACACCATAAGTTACGGTTCATCCTCAAGGACCTGGACATCAGCTTGGATTGCCCATGTCCCAGACAGAATGAGAACCAAAACATTATCACAGCCATTTTGTGCTCCCTGCCAACATATAAGCCCCCCCACCCCTTCTTGACTGGGAGGCAGCAGTCAAAAGGTCCAACAGTTCACTGAAACCCTTCTGAGGCAGGGCAGGACTGCAAGTTCAGGTCCTGGGCCACAAGGTTGCAGGCCTGGGCAAGGCTAGAAACACAAGTTGAAGCTCCCACCTGCAGTTCCTACAAGCCAAATGCAAGGGTCCTCCAAGAGAAAGACATGGGAAGAAGCAGG